CTTTCGTGGACAACTTCGGTTAGTCTAGGCTGGCATCACGCTGTCCTGTCTCCCATACTAAAACGAGTACTCGTTTCCGGTCTGCAGAGGGCCGCCGAAATGAGCGGGCCTCTTGATCTGTCTGCAAAATGCTCAACTTTCATGGACGATTCCGTCTGGCGCAAGCGTTCAAGCATACCAAGCCAACCCGACCATAAGCCAAGAAGGGGGAAAAGGTAGGCGTGGTGTATCCAGCATCTGAACCAGAACAGGGAGACGTGCAACGAGAAATATCATCACATACAGACATATAGAGACAGTCCTTCGATTTTCCCGGCCGTCTATTTTGTTCCTGGCTGCACCGATCTGTAGTTTTGTAGCGCATCGCAAACTCGTAGGATATCTTAAAAGACGTCTGCGGCGCATGAACTGCCATCAGCCAGCAGACGACAACAATCAAACAGCTATACAATATCCCATCCCAAACGACCTCGAAGCGTGCTCTCACTATGGAGGCCAGTCATCTTCAACCAATTAGGCCCAGCAATGGCCTACCGGATCATTTCTCCGACACTGTCCAAGAGGCAGGCCTTGCTGCACCTGCCGGTCCACGGACCATTGCCCTCGGCCTCACCCGCGGCTATGCATCCGACTGGCAAGTCCCAGATGCTCTGCGTGAACTATACCAAAACTGGTGTGTCTTTCATTATAGGTGGGGTAGTACTCTGCATAGAGAGGGCTAACCCATCATCATAGGAAGGATGCCATCCTACAGATACATCCCCAGATTAGTCTAATGGACTTCCAGCCGAAACACTCAATCACTGGGGACCAGAGTGAGATCACGTACGTTGTCAATTGCCCTGCAAGCGATTCCGTTGCCGCTGGTCATTCGTCGGTGCTGGGCTACATCCGTTTCAATGTGATCCACGGGAGGATCGAATTTGCCACCCTAGGGACCACTCTACATGAAGACTGCCTCGAACTCGGTCACAGCACCAAGAAAGGCAACGACAGTCGACTGGCTGGAGGCCACGGGGAGGGTCTCAAGCTCGCTGCCCTCGTACTCAGCCGCCAGAATCACCATATCAAGATATCCACCAACGGCTGCCACTGGACCTTTAACTTCAATGGTCGCAACAAGACGAACTTTTACTGCCGCATCGCTCCATCAAAAGCGAAGCGCGAGACGCTGCCCGTTGATGCTGGCGCAGAACCTCCGCGGCTGAGTACCAACATCTGGAATGATGTCTGCGTGACGATTGAAA